AAGATGAGTCACGAAATCCATCGAAAGAACTTCGAAAGGATAAGTTGGTTCGATGCTTCCGGGCGGAGGACCAGGATTCGGAGGACGTCCCTTTCCACTTGCACAGTCTACACATTCTTTCACATAGCGTTCAACATTGGCATACATACCGGACCAGTAAAACTCCGTCCGGAGTTTCTCATGGGTCTTCTTGATGCCCTGGTGTCCGCCCTGATAATCTTCGTGTGCAAAGTGTAGTAGGTCTTCTCGAAGCGAAGTCGGTACGACTAGTCGTAGCTCGGATTCCATGTCCCGAGGTCGTTCTTTGGTCGACTGCGCCAGTCGGTACAGAATATCTCTGGCATCCAACACGAAAAGTTCCGCATGTTTTGCTATCTTCCAGAGATGTCTCGGGGAAAAATGATCGAAATCACCTTTCAAAAACCTTTTTAGTTCTGAAAGATATTCATCTCCGTCTTGATGCACCCGGATTCGTCGCCATCTTTCTGTCTGAAACTCGAGAGGTCCCATTGGGGGCCTTTCGGAATTCACATTCCTTTCTGCCGACCTAGTCAGAACCGCCAACACTTTCGCGGCCGGCAAGAGTGAAGCAGATTCCACACTCGCAGTCTCCTCCGGAGATGCCTCCGTCTGGACAATCTCGTTCAGGTCCTTCGGTTCTTCGTCCGGAGTGGGCATCCGCTTCATAATCTGTTCAGCGATTCTGGATACTCGTTCCAAATGTGCAAACTCATCCTGGTCTGTCACTTCCCAATTCTCTCCAGACGCCAATGTCTTGGACGTGAGATAGTCCGCAGATTGGTTATACTCCCTTTTGACGTGAACCAGCCTCACCGTTCGGAACTTTTCTTTCAGAGTTTGACACTCGGCCAACCGGCGTTGCAAGTTTGGTTGATGACAGTTGATCAAACATTGCACTTGTTGTATGACAATTCGAGAATCTCCCACAACAACTAAGTCTTCGACGTTCCGTTCGGAAGCCATCACCAATCCATTTCGGAGTCCTTGATACTCACCATCGTTCACTGTAACATCTTCCAGAGTGAAACCTCAAGCTTGGATGACTCTCCATTCCGGAAGTTTCCAAAGGATGCAACCTCAACTGCCTTTCTTGGTCGAAGTCTTGGCTGCTCCATCGAAACTGAGAACAATTCCATCATAGTCACTCCCAAGCATCTCCATGCTAACGACTGGAGGTGCTCTCACATGGGATGAGCGATTCAGCCACCTTGTCCAGATGCTCTCTCGGAGTGATACCGGCTCCCATGCTGGCAGGTAAGCCGTCCTCTTCCCGTTGTACTTTCTGAACCGTGATGTCCCAGTGTGACAATGCCACACCCCAAGGTACACATCGTCCATCGGCGGTTTTCGAAGTGAGAACCCATTTCAGAACGGAGTACCTGGTATATATTTCCAAACGGCATCCTTCTAACATTGTTCGGAAAACTTGGAGTACCCTGAGAATCGCGATCACTTCTTTCTCGGCAATATGATATCGTAATTCCGAATCATTCAATACTCGTCCTGTGAACCTCACCGGAAGGATTCTTCCATCGTACACCTGTCCTAAGACAGCGCAAGCTGCCCATTGGTTGGCATGCGGAATAATCACGAATGGCCAACTTCGGTCCGGATGTCGCAACAACGGCGTCGAAACGATCTTCCGTTTCAAGATTTCAAAAGCTTCTTTCGCCCAGAGAAAGTCTCGTCCAGAACGGATCCGTTCTTCCGTGAGTTCATACAGTGATGCAGCTATAACTGGGAAATCTTCAATGAACTTATGATAGTAGTTCAGACTTCCGAGAAAAGAAAGCACCCCTTTCAGAGTCGTCGGAAAAGGTAAGTCTTAAACTCCTTTCGCAATTTTCGGAACGGCACGTATTCCTTCGGCGCTGATTTCGTGAGAAAGGTACGGGATGACTAACTTTCCAAATTCGCTCTTCGGAAGACTTACTAAAATATTCCAGTAACGCAATCGTAAAAGCAATTCATTGAGGTCTTCACAGAGCTGATCCCAAGTCGCGGCACCACGAGCGATGTCATCGATGTAGGAGCTCCTTCCGAGAACAGGTCCCATCTGTGGTGGCGCTGGAATGTTTCGTTTGAAAACAGTCATCGTCTCCGTCAGGATGGGAACGTTCCGTTCGGCAATCTCACTCCGGTCGGCAAGTGCCAGTCCCAGATATTCTAAAACGTCACTGTCCACGTCAGCTTCTTCTTCCGGAGAGAGTCTGACGAAACCCCATAAGCAGTTGTTGATCACAGCTTGATAGATGAGGGGAGCGTTCTTCAGTCCGAGAGGCATTCGTACACACTGAAAAATGTCCGAACAGACACACAAAGGCGGATATCAACTTCGCTCATTCTGACATCTTCACGGCCCAGAAACCACTGGCCATGTCAAGGCTCATAAACCACATCGCATCTTTGAAACCGATTAGAAGGTCGCCGATCAGAGGTAACGGGTAACACGAGAGTTTCAGAAAACCATTCATGATCCGGTAATCTATACACATCCTGATGTCAATTCCGTTTTTCTTCAGAACGATGACTATTGGCGATGCCCAGGGCGATTCCGAATGCTCGATCAAACTCGTCTCCAAAAGTTTCTTGAGAAGCTCGTATACTTTTGTAAGGATGTAGGGTCCGACCGAACATGGTCTAAGAGCGATGTGTTGCGCATCACCGACATCCAGATCACAAATAACTCCACGAGCAGGCGCAGGAGCTGCATTTCCATCTCCAAGGAAAATCTTGCTGTGATACTCGAGAATAGATCGTAACTTCCGTTCTTCCTCCGGAGTAGACTTTCCGGAAACTCCCACATCGGCAGTCGAGATATCACATTGCGGAGTCAAGTCTTCCAGTTCAGGAAGCATAGCAAGTTGATCGCGCAACTGAGACATCAGCTCACTTCCCTCATGGATATACATAGGTGGTTCCAAATCGAGTTCTTCTTCAGCGACTCTCATGACCGCTCGTATTCCAAACGGAGCTGTTCCAACGGAGTGTCTACTCCCCCTGAGGCCTCATCATCGTCCGATGGTTCCTCCATACAGTCCTCATTTCGAAAATTATCGTCAGATTCATAAGGGAGGGTATCGAAAAACTCTTCCCCTTCGGAGTCGACGTCTCCGGGCGGAATGGACACCGTTTTGTTCGAGTCATCACCTTCACTTTTGGAGAGCAAAGAGTCCCAGTGTTTCTTCGTCACTGGAAACCACGACACCTGCGACTTCGCAGTCGAATCTCGGTCCGCTTTCAACCTCATATATCTGAGTCGAGATAGTCTCCGAACAGAATTTTCCGTCCGGATCGCATTTGAACTACACATGTTTCTTTTCCACCGGATCGCCTGGGAACTGAGTACCTACAGTCCGCGTTTGAACAACTTTCGAAACTGTTTTTTTTGAAGTTGTACCATTCGGACTTCGTCCATGTCAGAAGGAGACATAGTCATCAGTTTCGTCAGCCATGGATAATCTACCGATTGAACACACGGTGGTTCGGCTTCTTGCATCAGCTGTTCAAAACGTTCTTGACGCAGTCGCCGTTCCCTCGAAACGGTATTCTCACAGTTCAACGATTCCCATTCTTGGTATCTCTTGAGCCCCGGACGGACAAACCTTCCGGTCGGAAAGTATCCGAACTCCACTATCCCAGCCAACGCGGTTCGCGTGTCGATCCACACTCTTCGAGAAGATATGTTAACCACTTTCACTGCAACTGGCCATGACTTGCCACCGTAGATAAGCTGGGTCACCCATCGATCGCCTCGCCCGGCCCATACCACTTCTCGTTGAGGGTTGCTCTGCCCATAGTGAATTCGGACAACGGAGTATTCTCCGGGTCGGAGATGTAGCGTTTCGTGCGAACATATAGGTAAGTCCAAGCCATGTCTTTTCCGAACGGGTCCTGCTCCTGCCAAAAGGAGGGTCTCTTCGTCCGGAAGTTTGACGAGTCCTTCTCGAATACAAAGTCGAACTCCTGTCACAAGCATAAAGTCCATTCCTAACAACACATCGACTCCTTCGCCGATATTCGCCACCCACAGTTCTATCACATAGACCACTCTCCGACCGAGAGTGATTTTCACTTCCGTTCGGGCATTAATTATCGTCGGAATGCCACCCAGTCCGGTGACACGGAGCGGTTTTCCATGAGTCAGATTTAGTTTGAGCCTACGCGCAAGGTCCAAACTAAGCATACTCACTGTAGCTCCTGAGTCCAAAAGGACATTCATCCGACAACTATTTACTGCACCATGAACCATCGCCACTTTCTGACTTTTGTCACTGTCGTGATTAGCCCACCATCCATCGTGTTCACCGGGTTCAGTTGGAATTCCGGACGGGAGTCCCATTCCTGGTTTTCCAAATTAACATTTTCCGGGCGAAAGTCATCATCGCTTTCAATCACTGACATGCATTGATCGTTATCTTGATCTCTTAATCTCAATTCCGGTCCAACATAAACCAAGACACACAACTATGGGGTATTCTTGAGCCCGACGCGTTCTGGATCCCCATCCAGCGGGCTTACAGGTTTAACGGCTTCTCCCCAGAGCCGCTGTCTCCACCCAGAGTTCGGAAGTTGAAAAGAGTTCTTTGAGATCGAGCTGGCCTTGTACGAGCTGGCCTTGTTGTGCAAGTGCCTTGAATCTTCGTTGGATCTTGGAGTCGTCGCACTTGCCATCATGATATCTTTCGCAGAGGTTACACACCGGATTCGACACATCCGAGAAGGATGGCCGAGTTGGTGGCATCGTTTGCATTCAATGTCCTTCCAGCAATTATCTGTTGTATGACTTCCTTCACCACAGTTATCACAATGTTTGCTTTGCGAAAAATTTCGGAACCGAGGTGACGGCGGTCTTGGACTGAATTCACTTCCGTTCGGAGGTTTCCAGCCGGAGTTGTCCATGATACGAAACACTTCTTGCGTCACTTGCTGCCTCACTTTAGACTTCCACGCATCTTTCTGCTTGGCGAATTTCTCAGTCTGATTAGCTTTCGGAATGGAGAGATCACTTTTCGTCGGTGACTCCTCGTCTTCCGAAGAGCTGTCCCGTTCATCATCTCCATCCTCCGATTCACCTTCTGAATGTGTAGCAACGTAAGCTTTCCCATATTGTTTTGGACGATGGCGTCTCATGTGTTGATTATGTTGATTATCCGCTCGGAAATCACGAACTCGGGACAGAAACGCATCCGTTTCCTCATGTCAGGTTTCGTCATGCTGTTTCAGGATGAACTCCAAATCTGTCATTGACCAAATCCGCTGTCCTTGTAGAGTCGCTCGGAGCTGTTTGTCGGTCAACTTCCGGATGAAAGTCTTCACATGTTGATCACGGAGTTTCGACGTTGAGCGAATGTCAATGCCTGCCTTGGCCGCCGTCTTGTCTTATAAGACGATAGTAGAATTCGCGCAGAGTTTCAGATTTCCGTTGAGCCATAGTATAGTACTTTTCGGAGTCTGTTGTCCTTGCCTTGCCGTAATTCCCCCGGAATGCCTTCAGAAATTTCTTCCAGTCTCGACGGGTGTCCGTCCGGAGACTTGACCTCCAGTCTCGGACTGTTGAGGACAACTTCAGTTTGAGTTGGTAAACCTTCGTCTTGTCGGACCATCCTCCCGAAATCGTCATACTCTGGAACTTTTCCAACCATCGGATCCGGTCGGAGAGCGATGCCTTCTCGTTGAAATCATCCAAACTGTTCGCGTTGACGAACGGGTCGAAACTGAACAGCGTCGTCCCTTGCTGCATGATCGAAGTCACTGGAACGCTTGGCGTGATATCTCCAAACGCGCTGCTATCCGAATCGCTTGATGCATTGTCGTCCAAACGAGAACCATCTGAGTCAGGGTCTTCGTCTGGGTCATCTTCCGGAGGATTATCGTTCTGGCGAGATTTCTTCTTCGAACCGTCCTTACGGTCCGACGTCCTCTTGTCGCCCTTGGGGGGATTCTCACTCTTTGAAGGAGGCTTTATTCCAGTCTTCCTTCCGGACGGAGTCTTCGAACTTCCGGTCGCAGTTTGCACCTTGGCCTCGGACTTCACCACTTCGGTCTCGACATTCTTCGCGTTGCGAACTTCCACCTTCGATTTCCCATCTGAAAGTGTCGCTTGCGACTGGGCGGCGAAAATTCCATCTGCACTTTTTGTGGCACGTCTCATCCCTGCCCCATCTCTGATGGAGAAACTTGTCTGATCCGTACTGGATAGATTCTGCACATCCGTGCGACCATATTCTTCGCCGAACACTATAGAATTCCAAAGATTTCTGCCGAACACCGTGGAATTCCGAGTCAGTGGATCTCTTTCGGAGACCGCTTCGGCCGCTTGAACTTGGGGTGATGTCACACGAAGGTTGCGCATGTCCTTCACCAAAAGTGTTTGGAACTTGTGGGCTTCTTTTCTCTCCTGGTCACGTTCAGTCTTCATCGCACGCAAACCGACGTGCATGGCGTCTCGATCTGCCTGCGTCGACTGAAGCTCCGCCTGGAGGGCCGTCACGGCGGTGGCACTTTCCGTCCGAAGAGCCGACATTGCCTCGGCGTTACTCTTCCGAAGACCTGTGGTCTTGTCGGCGTTTCTCCGAGCTTCAGCGTCCAAGTGTTCCTGAACCTTTGCCTCTAGTAGAGACTGGTACTGCTGGAACTGAGCTTGGGACTGTTCGTGTCCCGCTCGGACTGCTTCCCGTCGGAGTGCTTCAGGATCGAGCGTGGGTTTGGATTAGGCATTGGATCCAACTTTTGAATAAATTCCGATGATCCGACATGTTCCGCCTTCGAGTTCTGTTGCATCATCCGGAGGATCTTCTCCTCCATACGTCGTTCTCGTTCGGCAGCTTCCACTTTTTCTCGGACAAGTTCCGCTTCGTGTTGAGCCAGTCTTGCTTTAAACTCCGTCTGTTGCCTCATGGTGGCGGCCTGCTGCTTGAGCTCCAGATTCGAGATTGTTTCCTGAATTTGGGTCATGGCGTTCAGAGCGATTTCCGTTGAGATGAACCGAGCGGAGGCCATAGAGTAATCCGAGTATCTCGACTGGTACGATCGTTCCGAGTGGACAGAATGTCCAGACGGGGATCTCGCTCTCGACGTTCGCTGCGAGCGATGCCGTCTTCGAGAATGGATCGACTCATGGTCACTCTCGACCACACCTGGTTTCTCCTATGCAACATCTCCTTCCAGACTCACTTGTTCTTCGGACGGTACTATCAATACTCGACTCCGGCCAGCAGAGTGATCCGACTCCGACATAACGACATCGTCCTGATCAACTACCGGCGGAAGTGGAGGAAGTAC